GACACCTTTGTAAAACCATCCTTTTCAATACACTTGGAAATGTCAGATTGCCACAGGGCAGCTTGTTCAAATTCCTGGTGGGTGCTGCAGCCTTGACCAGAATCCTTGGGAGAATCTCTGCAGGAAAAGCTGGAGATTCCTTATTTTCCATATTCCTTATTTTCCATATTCCTTATTTTCCATCATTGAACCCTGAACAGTGAAAAGAAGTGAACCAAAGCCAGATTTTTCAGATTATATATAAAACTGGAGTTTAGTACTGAAGGAAATCCATATATTTCTATGTCCAGGATGGCAGGAGAAGAAWTTTTTTAGAAAGCTATAAAAGTCAAAAAGGAATTTTAGAAATGCCAAAATATTTATTTTAYAGACTTTCTAAATAAATCATTTTACCTTACTTTTTGAGCTGGGGTTTGTGGTTTAGAAAAGGTTAACCCCAAGTTAAGCAGGAAGATTGAGTAACTCAAAGGAAAGCAAAATGCTTCATTTCAGTTGGAATTTAACATTTGGGGTTAACCCAGAATTTTTCCAGCTTCTACTTGTGGTTTTGGGGTTTTTTTGGGGTTGTTTTGCCTTCTTCTCTTCTCTCTACCCCCATCTCACTGTTGCTCCATCCAAGGTATTTTTTCCCAGATATTTTGATGCAGCCCAAGGGGTATCACTCACCCCACATCAGTGAGCTCCTCGTTCCCAGCTGTCCTTTCCCCTGATCCACACTCCCAGAAATTCCACTCACAGCCATTCCAACCTCAGAGCATCCATCTGGGAGGATTCCAGCCCCACCAGAGCCGGGCTTTGTTCCTTTGGCCCATCCCAAACCAGGCCATTAGAAATCCCTGTCAAAGAAATCATCAAAGAGGGAAATTCTCTCTGTCTTGGTTCTCACGAGCGCAGGTTTGTGGGGAATCTTCTCTTCCCTCTCCCAATCCTCGGATTCCGTGCTGGTCGAGTCCCAGAACAGATCCTTGGTCTGTGGCTCCCTGCAGAACCACAGATCAACCTTCCCTCTCCTGTCTGGAGAGAGTTCAGCCCTGTCAGGCTGCCTGGAAAGGCCTCCACCCCACGAATTTCCTTGAAAAGAGAGAAAAAAAATCAAATTTAATGGTTTGGCAGAGATGCTCAATTGGAAATGGCTACGGACAGGGGGAGGCATGAAAAGAAAATCCTGAGAGATCCCTGTGAAAACCAGAGCCCATGTTTGGGGCAGAGTGAGGTGTGACACACTCAGGGTTAAATTTGGTGAAATTACAGAGTCTGGCAAGAGCTGTCATGGCTTTGTCCCCAAGGAGGAGAGAGCTGAGGTGACAAAACACGAGGGAATGGGAACCAAGCTTGTTCCCCTTGCTCCTGGTGGAAGTTCACCTTTAGACAAGTTTTTCACTGATTTAAACTTCAGTGACAGAACCCCAGCCTGTGCCAGAGGTTGTCACAGGCAAGGACAGCAGGACAGGGTGAAGAGGTGGCYGAGCTTTGTCCCCTTCAGGGACAAAACCCCTAAACCTACAAACTGAGCACCTCAGTGAGTGTCAGAGTTACAGGGGGTGCATCGAGCTCGGGGTGTGACAGAGCTGGATCCTGCTGGGGTGAAGCCACGAGCAGMTCATTCTTTCCAGTCTGAGCTTCCCCAGTGTGCCCAAGGCTGCTCTGACAGAGAGGACACCCCAAAATATCAYGGAATTCTGGAATATCCTGGAATGGACCCATAAGGATCATGGATCCAGCTCCTGACCCTGCACAGACACCCCAAAATCCCCCCCTGTGCATCCCTGGCAGCGCTGTCCAAACTCTCCTGGAGCTCTCTGGGGTCGGGACCATTCCCTGGGGAGCCTGGGCAGTGCCAGCACCCTCTGGGGGAAGAACCTTTCCCAAAAATCCAACCCAAACCTCCCCAGCTGTTCCTCTCCTTGGTCCATGGCTCTTCACTCACATCCCCTTGGCTCTGTATGGCTGCTGAGCCCCCTGAGACACCCCAAAGCTGTGTCCTACAAACACCACTCCCTCATTCWGCCCTCTGAACCTGCACTCAGCACTGCAGGAGATGGAGCAGTGGAAGAATCTTCCACAGGRAAACTCTTTTGATGACATTTCGAGGGCTGGTGGGTTTTACACCTTGGAAAATTGTCCACTCACCGGGGTGGTCTTCATAAAAACGCTCAGCAGGGATGGGGTCAGGGCTTCTGGGGCTCTGGGGAGCACCAAGGACATCTTTGGGGCTGAATTCCTGCATTTTTTGCTGATTGATTTTGGCCTCCCTGTGGAGATTCCGGTTCAGCTCCGCCTGGGTGTGCAAAGGAGTTGTCAACGATTCAGCAGAGCAGCGAACACGTTTAATAACCCAACATGACACAGGAAATAAATAATTGCACAGGAAATAATTGCACCGTGGAGCAGCTCAACCCAGGCAGGTGGAACTTGCAAAACACGGCTGGGACAGGGAATTTTTGGTTTCTCCACAAGTCACAACCAAACGAGAGCAAGGAGTTGGAAAACTCAGAGGAAATTGCTGCTCACAGGGGCCCTGGGGATGCTCCTCTCCCTGGGACACGGGGAAATCTTCCTTCCACCGTCCCAGCAGGAGGTTTGGAGCTGCCTGGTGTGTGGGAAGGACACCCCCATCCCATCCCATCCCATCCTATCCCATCCCCACCCCAAAATTCCTGGAGTTACCTCTCGCCTCCTGCGGGTCAGCTCCAGCATCTGGAGCTTGTGCAGGTGCTGCCTCCTGCCAGGGAGGGGGTTCAGCCTCTGCCCCCGGTTCTCCAGCACCTGCGAGGTGTTTAAAAATGAAAATAAATCCACCTGCACTTCCTGAGAGAGAAAGGAARAGCCTCCAGCTCACAAACCCCTCGGGCTCACAAATAAAGGCAGCGAGCATCTCCCAGCTCAGCCAATTTGCAGGAATTCATCATGGAATTCCACTGTGTTTGCAGTTTATCCCACAGCTYTGGGGCACGAGGGGAAAAACTTCATTAAAAGCAGGTATCAGTGCTTCTGCCCACCGAGCTGCTTCTCCAAAATAATCTCCTGATGCAAATAATAAAAATAATCTCACTTCTGCATCTGGGGCTGTGGGGGGTGTTCATGGCAAAGCCTTAAAATCAGATTTATGGGATTGYTAGGGTTGGAAAAGGAGGCCAAGATCATCCAGACCAGCTGCTCCYCCAGCACTGCCAAAGCCACCACTGAGCCCTGTCCCCAAGTGTCACATCCACAWGGYTTTGRAATCYYTCCAGGGRTGGGGACTCAGCCCTGCCCTGRGCAGCTGTGACAGYGCCTGACAATGCTTCCAGTGAAGGATTTTCCCCAAAAAACCCAATTTAAACCTCCCCTGGCACAAACTGAGGCCATTCCTGTAATCTGTCCCTTGTTCCCTTGAGCTGATCCCCCCTGGCTCCAAACTCCTTTCTMCAGAGCTCTCTCCCTTCTCCCTCCAAGTGTTGTTCAAGTTACTCATCATTTCAAAATGTGGCCCTCACAATTTTCAGCCTCTAAAACATTAAAATATCGTGGCTCAGCAGGTCCATCTCCTCCTGGGAGCTATCATGGTGCAGATTCAGAAACTTTCCCCTTATTTCAGATTTATTTCAGATCCTCTCACCCACCAGAGTTTCAGCTCAGTGTCCTGGGCTCAGCCAGGGACAGGAGCACACTCAGTGGCTAGACCCCCAATTCTGCCCTTTGGGGTGCCCAAATTATGAGGAAAAGGAGCCTGCAGGCAGGAATGGCCCATGGGAGGGCACAAACTCACTGCTYACCTTTATTTTGGGGCTTGCAGCCCCTTCCTGCTGGCTCCAGGGTTTCTCAGGAGCGATTGCTCGTGAAGGGAATGCAGGTTCAAGCCCCTGCAAGTTCAATATTTATAATATTTATAATATTTAGCATTACTCATTCCACACGATCACAAAACCCGATATGAAGCCACCTTGACATTTTTTCCAGCTCCAATCCTGGCCCAGCTGCTTGGGACACTGAAGGAGTTTGGCATCTCAGGGATGGGCAAAACTGGGGGGATCTTTTG